AAGGACGGTCTTGACCCACAGCTTTAAAAAGAATTTCCTTACCAGCTCTAGATAATAGTTTATCATTCCAATTATTAATCTTTGTCCATAACCTATCCTTCAAAAAAATTGAATACCCCTTTCTTATCCTTTCCAATGAGAGAAGGAAGCCCTAAGTACTTGCAATTACCCAAGGGGTTGTGCATACCCAAAAGATCAAAATTTAATTCCTAAAACCTGTACTCACATTGGGACTAAACATGATGCCTGATTTTTGCAAATTTATAGCCTGACCAGAGGCAAATTCATATTATCTCAAAATATTTTCAATACGATTTCCTTCCCTTCCATTGGCCTTAAAAAAGAAAAATGAGTCATCAGTAAAAAGCAAATGGGAAATTCTAGGGCACCAAACCCTAGGCTGAATACTATGAATCCATCCTCTATATTTTGCCTCTTCAAAGAGGAGAGACAGACCTTCTGAACAAAGAATAAATAAGTAAGGAGAAAGTGGATCACCTTGCCTTAGGCCTTTATGAGGAACAATAAGACCCATTAACTCACCATTACATACCACAGAGTAACTCACAGACGAAATACACAACATCATCCAGTTAACCCAAACATTATTAAAGCCCATACTTAGGATCATATGACAAAGAAAATCCCAATTAACCCTATCATATGCTTTGGTAATATATATCTTAAGCGCAGTTACACCATTCCCCCTTTGGATTTCTCATTTCATATTATGCAAAACCTCAAAATCAAGAAAAACATAATCTTGAATCATCCTATTAGCGACAAAAGGAGATTGATTCGTGGAAATAATATAAGGGACAACTAATTTTAATCTATTGGCCAGGACTTTAGAGAGAATTTTGTATAACACATTACACAGGGCTATAGGTCTAAATTCCATAATGGACTAAGGATTATTATTCTTTGAAATTAGAACAATAAATGTGTCATTTAGAGTAGTAGCAAAAATACCTCTTCGAAGCCATTCTCTATATCCTGCCACCACGTCCTTGCCAATAATATGCCAGAACTTCTAGAAAAAGGCTAGCTTAAGCATCTCCCATGTATGGCCATGTGATGATTATTATGGAATAAAATCGGCTTATGGTTTGACACGAGAGTAATAATAGTTTTGAAAAAGCAATTATCAAAAAGGGATTGCCAACCTTCGTTCCCAAAAAATCGATCCAATTTCTCCTTTATCGTCACCTTATTATTTCTCCGCTTCTACCATGTGAAAGTGGAACCAACCATCGGAATCTCAAATAAATTATAGTCTTCAACAAATTTACGAAAACACTGAAGAAGATAACGTGGTTGTGTGAGGCCCCCTTCTTTTTCTTCTTGCCTCAAGAGATAATTGAAATCACCTAAACATAGCCACAGATGATTATCACGCAAAGCCAAAGCCCGAAGCGAATTCTAAGACACTCTCATTCTATTTGTTTCAGGGAGACCATAAAAACCAATAATGTGAATTATAGAATCATGCCATTGGAGATGGGAATCAATAAAGTTCATTGCAAAGCCTTTTATTTGTAACAACAGGTTATTGGACCAAAACATTGCTAAACCATCGCTCCTGCCTTGAAAATCAACTAAAAAACAAAATTTAAAACTAATAGATCTTGCTATTTCTTTAACTCTATTTTCATGAACCAAGGTTTCAGAAAGGAAGATAATGTCCGGCTTGTAGTTCAAGGACATCTCCTTGAGAGCTCTAAATGCGCGGGGATTGCTGAGATGCCGCAATTCCAGCTTATGATTTTCATTGGGCCGACTGTCCTGTCTGCCAGGACTAGTCGATATAACAATTGGGGAACTCCATTAGAATCCTTTTGTGCAGAAACTTTTGGGGTGGTAATACTTTGCTTCCTCTTTTTGTGGTCCTCCGATTTAGATAGGCCTTCCTCCTTTATTTAACTCATTTTTTCAGCTGTAGGACCCAAGCTATTTTTAAATTTCCATCGACTGGGTATGCTCCTGGGTCGGTGGGTCTTGTATTATCCTCTTAGTAGTTTGAGGGAAATCGATTCTTGTTATAGTACCTTGCATCATATTATGGTACCCCATATATTTCCTTTGTTCCATATCTCCAAAAATCAAGGAGTTACCATAATCATCTCTCAACCAACCGCTAACTTTCTGGACCCCCTCTCCTTACCGGAACTCGATTTTTGTCATCCCAGAGTAAACGAATGTCTTCCTTTTTCTGGTGTAAGCTCTATTCACAAAAACTGTCAGCAAGTCCAAGCCTACAACAGAGATAATAAAACACAGAGATTATCTTATAACGAAGTAGAACAAAATGAGCCTCCCCATCCGCCAAGATTATTTTTTCTTCCTATGCAATGGTTGTCTAACATCAAGCGTAACTCTAATACGCATAAAACTCTTCTGAACAAATGTTATAGTTTCGTATCATACTCCTTGAAAATCCCCATAAAAATACTAAGCATTTTGGCCACATTCTTCGTCATCCCTCTCGTTGGCAGGTCATGAACCTAAACCCAGAAGTCAACAAAGTAAAGGGGAACTGTCAGCGGTTCTTCACCATCCACCAATTTATGGAGAATCAAAAGGCGCTTATTCAAATGCCAAAGAGACCCATCCAAAACTCTTTCCACGTCCACATAATTCAAAAACGAAAAAGATACCTTTTTGCACCCAATTCTGTGATTCCAACCCCCCCAAGAGAATGCCATAGTTCTGCAAAAAGGTTACGCATGACAGGAAAATTTATAGAATTCAGAGTGTGAAACAATCCTACGAGGCAGAAGGCGTAAGTTTTCCAGCTCACTTGGAACCCCTTGATCCATTCGGAAACCATCATCTTCTTCCTCTAAAAGAGAAACAGCCTCCATTTATTAGTCTATGGTTAACGAGGAAACTGATAAGGACAGAAGAATGAGAAGAATTTTAGGGAACGTAGCACAGTGAACGTAACTTTCAAAAGCAAGGTTTAGGGTTTAGGTGTTTGTTGAATGTCAAATAAGCTCTTGGAAAAAAGTTATATCATGAAATAGCTGGATAAACAATGATTTCTATGAGAGGTGAGAAGGTGGAAAGTGGTAACGACAATAAGTATGGAGGTCGTGACAAAAAAGATAGGGTTTGGGTTTGTAAGAGAGAGAGAACTACATGCTAACAAAGCATACGAAAACCGGTTGGGACATTCTATATTTTTTAAATGGTATTGGATTTTTAGTATTTGTGAGAAATGGTATTGGACATAATGCACGTCCATGCGTTTAATATTTGAACAAAATTTGTTGATTTATTAAATTCTCATTATTTTTCTTTATTAACATTTTTTGTCAAAATTGTATTTGACCTATTCAAAATTCTAATAAAAACTATTAAGAAACGTCGTTTATTTGAGCATCATGGATAAGAAAGGAGGCAAGCCACAGAGAGAGAGGGTATTAGGATTTCTTTTTATTATGAGAAATGAAGTTCCAGAAGATTCTTTCGACTTTGTAGAAGCGTCGAGTTTTGTTTGGATTTTGTTGGTTAGCCGGTGAGTTGAACCGTTGCCAACTTGGGAAACAAAAAGGATTTGTTTATATTGTAGGTGCAAATTGTTTTTTTCCTTTTTCGATCAATTTGACACAATTGATAATTTAATTAAGTTAATTTCTTTTATAAATTTTTTTACACAATATAAAGTAGCAAAGCTAAAAAAAAAAAAATTAATCCCTCTGTCCCAAAAAAAAGTCTCATTTTACATAATGGGTGTTCCAAAATAATAGTCTCATTTTTATTTTTTGAAAATAGTCTTTTTGTTAATTTTTCTATAATACCCTCATAATATAATTTGTGACAATAATTATATGCATAGAATTACTAAATATTTAGTTAAATAGATATAAAGTAATTGTAATATGTGACAAGATATTAATGTTTTATTGCAAAACTCTATAAACAATTTCAACATTTAATCAAAAAACTATTAATAAAGGGGTATATATGAAAAAAAAAAAGAAACAATCTTATGGTTGAACTAATTTAACTATCTATTTTTAATCTGTGTGAACAAAAATGAGACTACTTTTTTAGGATGGAGGGAGTGTATAAATTTTTTCTCATATTATATAAAAGCCACTGAATTAAATTTGTTTGGAATGAAAAAGCCACATTTTACATTAGCTAGTACTTCCTCCATTCATTTCGTTAAAGATAAAAGCTATCAAATTTAACGGAGCCGAGGGAGTAATATTGAAGACATAACAAGCTGTCTCAAATCTCTTCTTAAAAAGAGTAACAAATTAAAGGATCAATAAAAAAGAGCAAGCAACAAATTATTCAAAAATAAATTTTTGTTGCAAAGTTACTTTTCAAAATTGCATTATAAAATAGTCTAATTATCATTTTATCTTGAATTTTGCAGGTTGGTTTAATTTCACCACATCATAAACAATTTTAATTAAATTATGGTTTTTTTATAATAATCTCATCTAAAATTTAAATTGGCTTAATTTTTATAATAAAACATCAATATATATGAGATTCATTGTCAAACCCCTACGTTAACTTAATAGACATAAACTCATTGTCTCTTAACATGAATTTGTTGTTGAGATTTCATATTGAATTTTTGTTTATGTGAAGAAACGGCGAGTTTTTAGTTTGGGTTAAACTAGTCAAGTTCTGACAGTAGATCATATAAATTGATGTTTTATTCTAAAAATTGGGTCAATATAAATTTTAAGCCAAATTGCTTATATATGTAAAGTTAAAGTAAAGTAATAAATTAGGCCTCATAAAATTGGATATGTATAGCATTGAGAAATTATTTATATACTCTATAAATATAAATAAATTCTATAAAATTGATTTATATTCTAATGTATAGAGTAACAAAAAAAAAAAAAGAAAAAAAAAGAAAAATCTAAACGAGTAGTCTCTAGTCTTTAGCTATTGAACGACGACAAGAACAGAGTGGAAGTGAGTTAAAAGAAAATAAACCAAACGACATTGACGCCGCCTTTATATTCCCCCTGTCTGCCCCTTCAGATTCCATCTCTCAATGCTCCCTCTTCACACCATCTCTTCCGTCTTTTCCTATCTTTCGCAGTCTGTCTCCGTGCAAGACCAACAATTTTACCATAATTGAAAAAAAAATTAATTTTCAGTGCGTTTCTGCATGAAAAGGTTTTCTAGCAAAATCCACTTTGTGCATTGGTTCATTGTCAGGTTGCTATTTTGGAGGCTGTTTTCTTGATAAGGTAAAACTAAAATAGAATTATCCTTTTTGTTTATTATTGTGTTTCTACGATGGAATTGATTTCACCTTCAATCATATGAATTTAAACATAAAATTTTAATATTATTACTTTGGTTTTTGTTGTGTTTATATGGATTTGTTTTCTGATTCAGCTAAAAGTAATGCATGTCTTATTCCATTCTTACCTAAGTGGGTGTCTCTTGACCTTTGTATTTTAGCATTTTTAGAAGTGTATTTGGAACATTGTTTAGTGCATACTTTTTTTCTTGTCTTTCTCGTAGTAGAGGCCAGAGGTTCTGGATTTGTCGTGGATTTAAGTTTGAAGGTAGTTTCTTAGGGTTTTAGGTTTCTGTTGTTTGGGGATTTCAGGATTTAGTGTTAAATTAGAGACTTTGAAATTTTCTAGCGTGAATTGTGTGGAGATATGGAAATATTAGGAACGGGATTTTGATTATGGCTTTCTAGGTATTAGAATGTTTATTATGATGCTGCATTTGCTGGTTTCTGCAAATGGTCTGAACGATGGATGCTTTTATGTTATTGAATTGGCGCTTTAAGCGAAGAGGGCTGCAAAGTTTAAAGTTTATGCAAAAGGGATTAGATTAGTATAGGACTGACTGGTTATCTGACTTCTCTCTGTGTATCTGTGTTGTTTTCAGATTTTCTCCAGGGATTGGCAGTAACCGGCCAGAAGGTTAGAGGGAAATCCTTTGCCTATATGGGTACAAAGAGTCTTAAGAAGAAAGGGCATGAGAAAGAGAAAATGCACAATGCAGAGGAATTCTTTTGCAATGAAGATGAAAAAAATAAAGGAGTATGGTGTTAATGGCAATGATGTTGAACTAAGTCATACTGAAATGGAGGCTGTTAAAATTGAGGATGGCCTAAATAATCAAGAGATAGAAAATGAAAAGAAGAAGAAGAAGAAGAAGAAGAAGAAGAAGAAAAAGCATGAGAATGGAAACTCCGAGTGAGGTAGTGCCAATGTAGAATCTCAGGTAATGAAAAATGCGGATGATGGGCATAGAATCTCTAATAGGGAAGATATCTCTGAGATGATTAATGACAAAGAAGTAGATCAAAGAAAGAAAAAAAGTAAGAAACATAAACCGCACAAAGATGCAGTTCATGATCATGTAATAAAAAGTGAAACAAATAGAGAAGAGGTTGAAAATGGAAGTTATCATGTCTATGTCCAGAATCCAAAGAAGGAGAGGAAGAAAAAGAAGGTGCAGCATAATGTGAATTTGGAGAGTAGATCAACAAAAATCATGGCTGAGACACTCAATAATGAAAGTAACAGAATAGAAGATGTGGGTACCACAGATTTAGCTGAAAATCAGGTTGGAAATGGAAAGTTACGAGCTCATACTTGTTATGCAGCAGATGGAAAAGATAAGAAGAAGCGGAAAAGAAACGAGGACATTGGTGGTGTTGGTCTAATAAATGATGGTGTAATTGATGGAGAAGATGTTGGAAATGAAAGGGAATGCTTGGTTGGAAATATCATGAAAAAGGTTGATCATTCAGTGAAGGATAGGAAGAAAAAGAAAAAACATGATGGATTGGAAGGAAAAATTGGTGAAAGAGAACAGGGATTGGGTGGAGGCTTTGAGGTTACTGATTCATCAGAACAGTCTACACCAAATAAAGTTAAGAGAGTAAGTTTTTTTTGAAAATGCGGAGGTTTTCTCTTTTTCTGAAGGTCCTAGTAATGACGGGACTCGAAAAGACAAATGGTGCGAGTGATACGGATTGAGGGAGTAAGGTGAAGGACCCTTTAGCTCTACCTATCGGGCCAATCACAAGAGCTTGTGGAAGGACCCTTTTAGCTCTACCTATCGGGCCCAATCACAAGAGCTCGTGCAACTAAGCTACAGAGCAGCCGTTGAATGCATTTGTTTCAAGAAAAAGTCCATATTGGAGCTTCAAGATTCATAAAACTATTGCAAGAAGTCATATTGGAGCTTCAAGATCATAACTATGCAAGATGTGGGATTGAACTTGAAGAAGCATCTAAGTTTATTGTGGTGCTTGAGGCGTGTAAAGAGGCTACCCATTGATGCATTGTACATGTTTTATACTTAGGCAAATTTAGAAGAATGTTCTTTCATTGTAAGCTTAAGTATGGGGTGTGTAAGGCCTGTGGGCCCATCTATCATATTTTGTTTAGTTTGTTTTATAGTGGGCTTAGTTATTTAATGTAAGGCTGGTTGAACTTATATCCCAAAGTTGGGCCAGCCCTAGATTAGTTAATATTTAAGTTAGGCCTATTTTAGTTAGTTAGCTTAGGCTTTGTATTTAATTAAGCCCACATGGACCATAGTGGGTTAGGCCTAGACTAGTATTTAGAGGCTAATTAGGTTTAGTTTTTAGGAGTATTAATACTTGATGTTGCTTAATTTGACAGCAGCCAATTATTATAAAAAAAAAGTCGTGATCTTATTCTTTCTTTCAAAGAAAATCGTGTTCCGCATTGAATGAACGCAAACCAAATTTTCTTAGTAATTAAGATTGTGAGTTCTACAAGAATAATTGCGCCAAGAATTTTATATTTGTTTTCAAGAGTACTTGAAGGTAAATTTCTGTTTTCTTGTTTTAAATTCCTTTCTTTCTCCCTTCAAGAGTACTTGGTGGTTTAGGGTTTGACGTATACTTCCATGATTATATGTTCTCCGCTGGATTCTCCTTGTTGATTGTAAGAGTACTTGTTTAATTAGCTAGGGTCTCATTACCTGGTATCAGAGCATTCTGGTTGTTCATTTCAATCAATCTTTGGATTAGAATTTAGTAAAAAAAAAAAAATTTTTTTCCTACCATGGGTTAGTGACAACACAAATTGGAAGTGAATAAAAAAAAAAACAAAGTTAACCCATATTTATACTAGCATATGCAAGCACTTGAGAGTTGAATTTTGTCAACTATATTTGAGCATTGAAGTGATTCAGCCACCCTAGAAATACTGTGATTAAAATTCTGTTCTTGGGGTATTTTTCTTTCCTTGAATACTTGCTTTGACAATTAGATTAATTAGGTCCATAGTTAACTTTGCTTTGTAGTGAATTAACTTCTTTCATCTTGTCCAAAATTGTCTATTTTATTAATTCTAGTGTTCTGTTATTTGTTGGATATGGAGCAATTAGAACTTTAGTATATAGTAATTTTGGAACCTGCAAAATTAAGAAGAAGCACGCTTGTGCCACCTCCTAGCATGCCCGTGCTAGCCTTTGCAAATCCAGGCAATTCTGCAAACTAAAAAGAAGCATGCCCATGCCACCTCCTAGGACGCCTATGCTAGCCTCTGAAAGTCCAGGCGATTTTGCAAACTAAGAAGAAGCACGCCCGTGCTAGCCTCTGGAAGTCCAAACTTGCTCGTGCCGCTCCAGTATGCCAGTGCTTTGCCTCTTGACATTTTTAAAGTGTTTTTTGCTTGTTCCTACACTGTTGTTTATTAATTTCAAACAATACACCTTTCATGTTCTTGTATTGCCATTCAAAACATTGTGTCTTCTTGCTAGAGCTTTGCGCATTATTTGGTTATATTCTTTGCTTTCCTAACCTCTTCTTGACTTTTATAGCAACTTTGGGATTCTGAAGTGCAATTATTCAAATGGAAAGAGTGGTAAAAGGTTAGAGTGAAACCCACAGTTGAGAAAAGCCAAATTAAGAGAGAAATGCGTGAGGGAGTGATACATTGACCATTTTCTTTAGTTTGTGTTTGTTGTCTTATTTCAGGATGTCAGATTCATCTATAGACAAGAATGACAACCCTCTTAAAGTTGAAGACATGAAACTACAAGCCATTTTAGAAGCTTTCTCTGGAGAGATAGGTCAAATTACTAGGCTTATAGAGAGCTTTAATGACAGATTAGAGCAGCAAGAGAAAAAGATAGAGAAACATGAGTCTAATACCACAAAAAGGGGTGCAACCACTTCCAAAGAGCACTCTAAGTAACCTTGTCATGAGGAATCTGATGAAGATGATGATTGGCATAGAGAGCCCTTGTGGACAAGAGGTGGCCGAAACAATAGAGGCAGAGGGAGAGGGATTGGTAGAGCCGTCTCTATAGAAATGATGCCTTCTATGAGGAGGATGAATGAGAGGCCGAAACATCATTAGATGGTAAGTTGGGTAACATCAAACTCAAGGTACCACCTTTCAAATGCTGAAATAATGCAGATGAATACTTGGAATGGGAGAGAAAGGTTGAGATGATATTTGACCAACATATACACTGAGGAGAAAAAGGTAAAAATAACAGCCTTAGAGTTCCAAGACTATGCTCTATTTTGGTGGGATCAACTTAATCAGAGTAGAAGAAAAATGGGTAGGCGACCTATCAACAACTGGAGGACATGAAGGAGGTCATGAGGAAATGTTTTCTGCCTGCTTATTATTTCAGGGAGTTGCAACAGAAGCTCCATAGGCTTACCCAAGGAGCCAAATCAGTGGAAGACTACCTAAGGACATGGAGATGTGCATGGCTAGAGCACATATAGAAGTGGTCCAGGTGGATGAGGAGATGACTATGGCTTGGTTCTTAGGGGGTCTTAATAAGGAAATAGCTGATGCAATAGAGCTATACAAGTATGATTCTATGGAGGAGATGCTGAATATGGCTGTGAAGATTGAGAAGATGAGAAAAGGGAAGAGCACTACCACAAAATAGGTCTGCCAACAACAACAGCAACTCTTGGAGTGCTAGATGGCCTAAAAGTGAGGAGAATAAGGAGTTTCAAAGCTCTGCACAAAAGGGGGCAGATTCGGTGTCTAAGGCTTTCACGCCTAATGCTCCAACTTATCAGAGGGGATCAATCTCCAATACTCCTAGTAGAGACATCAAGTGTTTCAAGTGTCTTGGGAAGGGTTATATAGCTTCTCAATGTCCTAACAAGAGAGTAATAGTGATTCGGGATGGATACACATATTCTGAATCTGAGGATGAAGAAAACCCAATGCCGCCACTTGAGGACTGCAATGATGATGATGAGGCTGATGAGGATGTTTTACAACCTGAGATGGGATAGTTACTAGTTACCAGTTGAGTTCTCAACATGCAAGTTCAAAAGGAGAGCCTAGAATAGTGAGAAAACATCTTTCATACAAGATGCTTGGTACTTAGCAAGGTATGCATTTTGATTATTGATAGTGGAAGTTGCACTAACGTAGCTAGTTTGAGCATGGTGCAGAAATTGGGTTTGATATGTGACAAGCACCCAAGGCCATATAAACTTCAATGGCTAAATGATACGGGTTCTGTGAGAGTGAACAAGCAAGTGAAGGTGCCATTCTCTATTGGGCCCAAGGCCATATAAACTTCAAATGGCTAAATGGATACGGGTTCTGTGAGAGTGGAAAAGCAATGAAAGTGAACAAGCAAGTGAAGGTGCCATTCTCTATTGGGTGGTACAAGGATGAGGTCACCTGTGACGTATTGCCTATGCTAGCTGGGCATATTCTTCTAGGCTGCCCATGACAATTTGACAGGCGAGTCCAGCATGATGGGTACACCAACCGGTTCTCCTTTGCCTATTTGGGTAAGCATGTGGTTCTTGCTCCTTTAACACCATAAGAGGTCTATTTGGACTAAAAGAAGATATTAGAAAGAGGGGTAGAATTGTATTTGTGGGGAGGGAGAAAAGAAAGGTGAAGAAATAGGGAAAAAGAGGCCAAGAGTGAAAAGAAACAATTAAATGGCCCATTGGTGAGTGAAAAACCAAGAGAGGGAAGAAAGAAACAAAGCATGTATGTGTGAGAGATAGAGATCCGACGTTGTGTTAATAAGGGGTAGGCCGGTCTTGATGATTTGATTTAAGGAAATTTTGCTTAATTTGACTAACATTGACACTTCTTCTCTGCCTTCTAGTTGTGTTTCTTTGTTACAGGAGTTTTCTGATGTGGTATATAAACCTAGAGATTAGGTTTGGGTAAACATGAGGAAGGAGAGATTCCCAAACTAAAGGAAGGGAAAGCTTACTGCCGAAGGTGATGTATCTTTTTAAGTATTGGAAAGGATCAATGACAATGCCTATAAAATTGATCTACAAGGGGAGTATGACGTGTCTGCTACCTTTAATGTTTCTGACCTTTCTCCATTTGATTATGATTCAGGTTTGAGGACAAATCTTTTTGAGGAGGGAGGGAATGATATGAATCGAGGGAGCAAGGTGAAGGACCCTTTAGCTCTACTCGTCAGGCCAATCAGAAGAGCTTGTGCAACTAAGCTACAAGTAGCCTCAAATGCATTTGTTCAAGAACAAGTCATATTGGAGCTTCAAGATCATAACTATGCAAGGTTTGGGATTGAACTTGAAGAAGCACCTAAGTTTATTGTGGTGCTTGAGGTGTGTAAAGAGACTACCCATTGATGCATTGTACATGTTTTATACTTAGGTAAATTTAGAAGAATGTTCTTTCATTGTAAGCTTAAGTATGGGGCGTGTAAGGCCTCTGGACCCATCTATCCTATTTTGTTTAGTTTGTTTTATAGTGAGCTTAGTTATTTAATATAAGGCTGGTTGAACTTATATCCTAAAGTTGGGCCGGCCCTAGATTAATTAATATTTAAGTGAGGCTTGTTTTAATTAGTTAACTTAGACTTTGTATTTAATTAAGCCCATATGGACCATAGTGGGTTAGGCCTAGACTAGTATTTAGTGGCTAATTAGATTTAGTTTTTACGATTATTAATACTTGATGTTGCTTAATTTGACAGCAGCCAATTATTATTAAAAAAAAAAAAAAAAGACTGACAGCAGCCAATTATTATTAAAAAAAAAAAAAAAGACGTGATCTTGTTCTTTCTTTCAAGAAAACAGTGTTCTTAGAATTAAAAAAAAAAAAAAAAGACGTGATCTTGTTCTTTCTTTCAAAGAAAACAGTGTTCTGCATTGAATGAATGCAAACCAAATTTCCTTAGTAATTAAGATTGTGAGTTCTACAAGACTAATTGCGCCAAGAATTTCAGATTTGTTTTCAAGAGTACTTGAAGGTAAGTTTCTGTTTTCTTGTTTTAAATTCATTTCTTTGTCTCTTCAAGAGTAATTGGGGATTTAGGGTTTGACGGGTACTTCCATGATTGTATGTTCTACGCTGGATTCTCCTTGTTGATTGCAAGAGTACTTGTTTAAGCTAGGGTCTCATTAGCGAGGAAAGCGATTCTCACCTGAGGAAGATTAGATTGTTAAAGCATCTGTTTTGAACTATATTGATTCTCATGAACTACGTGAAGAAGGCCTAAAAATGGTTTTGCAATGTAAAATGTATCCTGAAGATAAAAACTGTTGGAAGGAAACAGGAGCTGCCATACCTTGGAGACCTCAGTTAAGTGTCTATTATCGAGCCCATATCTTGTTTCAAAGGGGTAATAAACGTAAATGGACCCAGAAGAGGTTGAATTTGTGCAGATATTCCATGAGAAATATGGTTCTGATTGGAAAACTTTGGCTGAGATACTTGGCAAACATAGGTTTCATGTGAAAGATACATGGCGTAGAATAAAACTTAAAAATAAGAAAGAAGGAAATAGTCTGAAGAGGAGTACCAAAATTTATTTGATTTAGTGAATAAGAATATGTGTTTGAAATCTCTTGAGGAAGTAAGAGAAACCAAACATGGGATGTTGCGGGATAATATATGTTGGACAGCAATTAGTGACCAGTTAGGTACTAGAACTAATCCTTCATGCTGTCTTAAATGGTACAACAAATTAACATCGTCTATGGTAGCTCAAGGTGAGTGGCTTGACGTGGATGACTATAACCTTGTGATTGCGCTTTATGATTTGGATGCATGTTGCATGGAAGAAGTGGACTGGGATAGTCTTCTGGAACATAGGACTGGTGATGTATGCTGGAAAAGATGGAACCAAATGGTCAAGCACATTGGTGAATATGGGAATGAGTCATTTACTGACCAGGTTGAAGTACTTATGAAGCGATACGGTCTAGATATTCTTGAAGCAAGAGAAGCTTATAACAACAAACCTACAGTTAATTGAGGTTCTAAATGAAATTAGGAACAAGAGGTTGTTATAAAGCCATATAGTTATTTTGTGGCTTGGTTTAGGTTTGTTTTGAGATTGATTGTAGGCTGATGTTAAGAATTTTGTGTAGTTAAAAAGTGAAATTTTATTGCATTAGACGTTTTCAACTTCTCTTGAAATCTCCATACCCATTTTGCTTTTTTATTCGAGTCCAATATGAATATGGTTTGAGAGGCATCCATACTAGATTATTGGGAGAAAATTTTTATATAATTGTATAGTCATTGTTTCTCTCAGTTTATTTGATTTATTAAATGTTGGTGGCCCTGGTTTTTGTTAATATTATTGTTGCCTCTCCAATGCTGGATCTTGGAACTCGAAAAAGATCTTGGACAGTAATTTTCTGTTGGCTGATAGGTGAATCCTATTCTGATTGACAAAATACTTGGGTTTTCTTGACATGGTACTAGCGTTGTGATTCTGAAAATAAATCTCCAAATATTTTCTAAATACCATCAGACCAGTTTTGAAAGAACTGTGACAAGAATATCCTTTTTCTTTTTCTGTTTTATATTTCTCCATATCGAAAAAGAATGTCCATTGTGTTAGGGTCTAAAATATGGATTTCAATTGCAATCCTGTGTGATGGGAACAAGGTTTTTACAGCTCTTGGTTGTGGCTTGTCTTTATGTTGTGTTTTTTTGGTAAAAAAATTGAAAAATATATTGAAAGAATTCATTAATATTATGGAATGTTTGAGCCAAGTAATGGATGGTATTAGTGGATCCACCGTATATATTGGCATAAATCAAACGCTTGAAGTTTGATCAACAAATTACCAAAAAACAAGTAAAAAACACGAAAGTCCAAATTAACTTGAGGAAAATGTTAAAAGGCTCCTGTTTGATTTTTGCTTATTCACTAAGTGAAGTTAAGTGAAATCTAGCCTCAATTTTCTGCAATTAGATTTTTGAAGGATGTGATTTGAATAAAAACTGAGAGTCTTAGTTCGAGGTTCGACCAGACTGCAAATGCAGGGGGATGCAGGGGATGGAGCTGGCTGATTTCTTTTGAGCCTCAATAGTGGCAACAGCTGTTGTGGCCCTTGTGTTACTTGTACTAGGCAAATAACAAGCAATATCATGAAAAACATGCTTATTATACGCCAGGTTTGACAGCATTGACACCTGATACTCCATTACAGCAGCACGATGACTGTTGTTCAAAATCATTATCTAAGAATTATCTGACTGTAGAGGACGCGAATGGGATGACTGATATTAAATCCATTGTCTAAAATTTTCTAACTGTATAGGTGTGAATACTCAAATTTTGAGGCTCAGGGGAATAACATAGTATGTGAAACTCTTTAAATGGAGGAAAGCACGCCTGCTACAGTACCATGCAATTTGTTTTGACTTTGCTACAGTAAATTTGACTTTGCTACAGCAACTACAGTACCATGCAATTTGTTTTGACTTTGGCTAACAGTAAATTTGACTTTGGCTACAAACAGCAACTGTGCAACGTTCGAACCGGACCGAAGGCCATTTTGGAACATTTACTCGAAGTATGCCAATATGTACTTTAAAACGTCCGGAAAATGTCGCAACGATCAACGGAAACCAGGTCCCGAAATAATTTTTCGGAGACCCGAAACTCCCGAAAAACTCTCCCGGAGTGAAAAAAGCCCCAAAGTAACCGCGGCCGGGAGCAGGTGGCTCCGGCCCACCGTGGCACTTGCCACCGGGCACCGCGGCACCTGCCGCCGGCAACGGCGGCACATTGCCGCCATAAAAAAAAAGATCGCCGGCGGCACCTGCCGCCGGACATCCGCGGCACCTACCGCGGCATTCCCGGCGGACCTGCCGCCGGACCCGCACGGCGGCCGACCCGTTTGGCCTATAAAATGCCTCTCCCCCTTCAATTTTTGAACAACCTGTCTGTGTTGACGGAGATCTTTCTCCCTCCCACGCTCCCTTGCGAATTTCTTTAACCACTTTTTGCCATTTAAATTTAATTTTTTATTTGCATTTTTTGTTGTGATATGGACACTAAAATTAAAACAAAATTTAAAATTAATTAATTCCCAAACAAAGGAAGCTTAATCTGGAGGTTAAGAAGCGGTTTTCCCGATTAAATCAGGTACGTAAAACGAAGCTCTGCCTATTTAAATTTTAGCAACTTCATGCAATGCTTCTCTCTACTCCTAAATAATTCTAACAACTGCATAAATGCATCCATGTCATCATTAGGCAAAACAAATTGCCTCAAAGTAAATGAATTTAAGCGCTAAATGCCCGGTTAATTAATAATCGTCGGTAATAAGCTTAAATCGCCGACAATTTTGGCTAAAGAGCCTAGGTTAATTAATAACTAAGGTTCAACATGCCTTAATTTTCAACAAATCCGGCTTAAAAGTCCAATTAATCAATAATTGTGGCTAAAAGCCTTAATCAATCACGTTTCGACAATAAATTGTGATTAAGCTCGAACATCAATTTTCGGCAATAATAAGCCCAAACATCAATTTTCGGCAATAATAAGCCCGAACATCAATTTTCAGCAATAATAAGCCCGAACACCAATTTTGGCAATAAATCAACTCATTTTGGCCAAAGGCCTTAAAATCAACCATTTTGGCGAAAATCGCCTAAAATCAACATTTTTGGCAACAATTGCCTAAATCAAAAATCATTTTGGCTAAAAGCCATTAAAATCAACATTTTTGGCAACATGCCTAAAAATCAATCAATCTTTGGCAGAATACCTAAACAAAATGCACAAAGCATACGCACTTATGCACAAAGCATACACACTTATGCACAAAGCATACGCACTCATGCACAAAGCATACGCACTCATGCACAAAGCATACACACTCATGCACAAAGCATACACACTCATGCATTAAGCATACACCTTCAAAGCCACCCCGACTTCAAAGAAAGGCATAATTCGAACTACGTTGAACTTTGATCTTCATTCCAAACGGAAGTACGTAGGCCACGTAAAGGGAATTTAACCCCAGCGCAAGTCGAAATCACTTAAACATTTTCATTTGGTCAATTACATCAATTCACCTTGCAAAGCATTCACTCTTTTTGGTTAGTTAAATGATCAGCAATGACATAGTCTCGGGAAATCCACCTCGGGTTCGTAAAGATTGTGCCTTAAACAATTGGGAAATTAAATTTCTAGTAACTAGGTTACATTAAAAATTGGAGTCACTCAAGGGTTTTTTCCTAAGTTTACCCTAAAAAATAATTAAAACAAGGTGGCGACTCACACACTCACGTGTATTTCTTTCTGTCCTTAATCATATGCCATTCAACAGCCTATGACATTTGGGGTAGTGGGTTCAAGGGGTTCACAGTTTGGCGACTCTGCTGGGGAATATTAATTATGTAATCTTTTTGCATAAAAGTGGACTACAATTGCTGTGTAAACTAACCTGCCCTGCTTTAGGGTATTATTTTTGTTGTGCCTTGTTTTGTAGGGTATCATAGCACGAATCGAGTGTTCTTTCTTTAAGAATACTTGATAAGGAAATTTGGACTTAATCGTAAAATGTGATTAAAAACATTAAAACTTGTTGATTTATTTGCACGATTGAGAATCTTTTTCTCCATTGCATAAAAAATGAATTTCTTCTCCTTCTGTTCAAACTTCTGAGTAAACTTCTGAAGTCGGATAGCAAGTAGCGCTGATCGGCAGGTCTCTTTGATATGTCGACGGACAGCCAAAAGCCGGTCCTCCCTGTTACCAGCAAAACCGTCCCTAATCCTTTTGGGGGTGGCCCCATGAGTATGCGTACCGTTGGACCCAGCCACGCGAAAACTCTTTGTTTCACATTTGGGGTTAGGTTATATCCTTAACTCCAAGGTTCAAGGTCCTTTAATAAGCCAAATTTCTATTTGTGTCATAGCCTAATAAAACCCTATCCTTTTAAGGCTTATGCACCCAATGATGCTGAATCATTCCATTAAAATGAATTATGTTTTGATATTGTGCGCATTCACGCATTCATCCCATACTTCACAAAAAAAGAGGGTCTGGAAAATGATAAATAAAAAAGACTCTTACAAAAAAAAAACATTCCATTTCAAAGCTGAAAAATCACATTTTGGTCCTGAGACCTGAAAATTTATATTTTGGTCCCTGAGACCTGAAAAATTACATTTTGGTCCCTGAGACCTAAAAAAATTACATTTTTGGTCCCTGAGACCTGAAAATTCACATTTTGGTCCCTAAGACTTGAAAACTTACATTTTGGTCCCTAAGACCTGGAAAATCACATTTTGGTCCTAAAATTTCCGATTTGGCCACAAAGGCCCAAAAATTCCCAATTTGGCCAAGGCCAAAAACATTCCATTTCAAAGCTGAAAAATCACGTTTTGGTCCCTGAGACCTAAAAACAATTACATTTTTGATCCCTGAGACCTGAAAATTCACAATTTGGCCACTCAGGCCCAAAAACTCACATGTTGGCCACAAAGGCCCAAAAATTCACATTTTGGCTATGAAGGCCCAAAAATTCCCAATTTGGCCCCAAAGGCCCAAAAAATTCACAATTTGGCCTAAGGCCCAAACTTCACAATTTGGCCACTAAGGCCCAAAACTTCACAATTTGGCCACAGAGGCCCGAAAGTTCACAATTTGGCCACTAAGGCCCAGAAACTCACATTTTGGCCTCTAAGGCCCAAAAAATCCCGATTTGGCCCTAAAGGCCCGAAAATTCCCACTAAGCACTCCTAACCTTACAAATACAACATCCCATGGTCCCTATCCTAAGGTGTCCTAGCATAATCCCAACATTAGCTCTACCTCACACTGTCCTCAACATACCCTATGAGGATAGTCTAATCGTTTTGACTATGTCCTTTCACAGGTACCCGCTGTTTGAGTGCCTATCCAAGTTCCAGTCGCACCTACAGTGCTATCACCAGCTTCACCAACCTCACCAGCTACACCAGCTTCACCTATAACTCCAACAACCCCACCTGCACCAATGACATCGCTTACTGACATCCAAAACCTCATTGAACAACTGGAGGCCAGAATGAATGAGGCATTGGCTGCCCAAAGGACTACCCTAATAGTTGAACTAGGTGGTGGTAATGGAAATGGGGCTTCCGCTGGGGAAAGTGGTCCTGCTACCTCCAATCAAGGTCCTGCTGCTGAACCGACAAACCCTGCCACCTGGATGACATGCCCTCCAGAACTGCTTT